CCTGTTGCCTTTCATACACTTATTCATAGCTTCCCATGCAATAATCAAAGTGTACATCAATATTGTAGATTAGATCAGTCAACAACAACTGCTTTCACAAACAAACAATCTGTTGGTAGTAATACTAGTCACTTAAAAACAACAGAGATAAAGAAAGATAAAAAGGATTACATGAGAGAATATATGAGAAACAAGAGACAAGATCCAGAGTTTAAAGACAAGGAAAGGGACAGTAAGAGAAACAAGCGACAAGATTCAGAGTATAAAGGAAAAGAAAGAGACAGTAAGAGAAACAAGCGACAAGATCCAGAGTTTAAAGAAAGAGAAAGGGATAGCAAGAGAAACAAGCGACAAGATTCAGAGTATAAAGGAAAAGAAAAAGACATTAAGAGAAACAAGAGAAAAGATCCAGTGTTTAAAGACCAGGAAAGAGACAGTATGAGACACAAGCGACAAGATTCAGAGTATAAAGGAAAAGAAAGAGACAGTAAGAGAAACAAGCGACAAGATCCAGAGTTTAAAGAAAGAGAAAGGGATAGCAAGAGAAACAAGCGACAAGATTCAGAGTATAAAGGAAAAGAAAAAGACATTAAGAGAAACAAGAGAAAAGATCCAGTGTTTAAAGACAAGGAAAGAGACAGTATGAGACACAAGCGACAAGATTCAGAGTATAAAGGAAAAGAAAGAGACAACAAGAGAAACAAGAGAAAAGATCCCGAGTTTAAAAACAAGGAAAGAGATAGTATGAGAAACAAGAGACAGGATCCAGAGTTTAAAGACAAGGAAAGGGACAGTAAGAGAATTAAAAGGCAAGAAGAAGAGTACAGACATGATGAGCAAATAAGAGATATAATGAAGAAAAAGGAAATGAGACAAAATCCTAACCAATTAGAAAAAGAGAGATTGAAGAAGAAAGAAAAGAGAAAAAACGAAGAATATAGAACATCAGAAAATATTGCTGCAAAACAATCAAAAGCACACTCACGGGAAAGTTTGGACTATATTGAAACTGAAAAACAAAGATACAGAAAAAGTAAATTTGGAGTTGATGCAGTGGAATGTGTTGACAATTTTCACAACAATGTAAAATTGGGTCCTGTGTTTGTATGCACATGTTGCCAACAGACATGGTTTCACGAAAGTGTTTCAAATGTCGATAAAATTTTGTTGGATGCTGAAATCAAAAGAAAATATCTTACTAATACAAAGTCTGTAAATGGGCAGGAATGGATATGCAACACTTGCAATTCAAGCTTAAAAGAAAGTCGAACTCCAAAACTCTCTTTTGCAAATGGAATGACATGGGTACAAAAACCAAGTGAACTAAATTTGGTACCATTGGAAGAAAGACTTGTATCCTTAAGAATTCCTTTCATGCAGATAAGAGAATTACCAAGAGGAGGGCAGTATTCCGTAAAAGGAAATGTTGTAAATGTGCCAGTTGACATACAACCAACAATCAACAGTCTTCCAAGGAGACTTGATGAAAATATTACAATACCTGTGAAGTTAAAAAGCACTCTTATTGTCATGAAAATATCCGACCTACAAAGGTTTTGATTGCTTTACATTGGTTAATGAAAAACAGTGAATATTATCAGAATTCAAACATAAACATAGATGACAACTGGTTCCATGAAGTTACCAATTCAGCAAATGAATTAATGAGAGAGTTTATTGAGGGCCACACCAATCAAGGTTCAACAATGCATGATGAATCAGATGAACCAGACTCTGACGAATTCTGTGAAGTTGATAGTAGTGGTAAGGATGGAAATTGTGATACACTATTAGACAGTGACTCATATGATATGAATCAGATCTTCACATTTGCTCCAGGAGAGGGACAACGTCCACTTAGTTTGTATCAAGATCAAATGGCCGAGTATTTGTCATTTCCAACAATATTTTGTGGTAAAGGAAGAGTAGAAAACAATCAGCGTCAAGTACCTGTTTCATATGCTGATATTGCCAAGTGGGAATTACGAAGTGTTGATAGACGTGCTGCACAGTCGGTGCCAAACTTGTTTTTCAAATTGAAAAAAATTCAACTAAAACAGGTAACAGACAAATGTAATTTAGCTCTAAGAAAGTGCAAAACAAAGGGGAAAACCTTTACTGCAAACGAAATAAGAAATCCTGATCAAATTAACAACATTGTTAGACACAATGAGGGATTTTATGTATACAAACAGTTGAGAAATTCGCCGCCATATCTTGAAACAAGGAAGAAAGATGTTTTTGCAATGATACGACAGCTTGGTCTACCAACTTGGTTTATGTCCTTTTCTGCTGCAGATACACGATGGAATGACCTGATAAGGGCACTAGGAGTCTTGAATGATGGCAAAGAGTACACAGATTCAGAAATTGAGAGCATGACGTGGACTGAAAAATCAAAGTTAGTTCAAAAAGATCCAATTACATGTACAAGGTACTTTGATCATCGTTTTAGAACTTTTTTGAATACTGTGATTAAGAGTGATCATCATCCTATTGGCAAGGTAAATGACTTCTTCTATAGGGTTGAATTTCAACAAAGGGGATCTCCACATGTTCACATGATTGTTTGGATTGAAAATGCTCCAAAATATTTGGAAAATGATAACAAGGAAATTGTTGCATTTGTTGATAACTACATAAAATGTGAAAGAAATACAGAAGACAAGATGCTAGAATTACAGGTGCATAAACACTCTCAAACATGCAAAAAGAGAGGAAAGGCTGTTTGTAGATTTGGATTTCCACTTCCACCACTCCAAACTACAATGGTATTAGAACCTTTGGATAGTGAAGTTGAGAAATACAAGAAGATGTATAAAGCTATGCAGGACAAAATGAATGAATTTAAAAATGGATGTGATGTAAGCTTCAGTTTTCAAGAGTTCTTACAGGATGTAGTACAGCTATCTGAAGATGATTATATCAAATGCATCAGAAGTTCCTTGAGAGGACCCAAAGTATTTCTAAAGCGCAAACCCTGCGATCTTAGAGTGAATGCTTACAACAGTACCCTTCTTCATGCATGGGCAGCTAATATTGACATTCAGTATGTCTTGGACCCATATGCTTGTGCAATGTACATTGTCTCATACATAAGTAAATCCCAAAGGGGTATGAGTGATCTTCTGAGTAGAGCTGCAAAAGAAGCAAGAGAGGGCAATCTTGACATTAAGAGACAAGTTAGACACATTGGAAATCAATTTCTCAACAGTGTTGAAGTTGGAGCACAAGAAGCAGCATATCTCGTTTTGCAAATGCCACTTACAAAAGCATCAAGAGATGTAATGTTTATAAACACATCTCCAGTTGATGACCGTGTAATACTTGTCATACCTGATTCAGAACTTGAAAAGTTGAATGCCAACTCCACAGACATAGAATGCAGTAACATAGTCAAAAGATATGCAAAACGTCCAAAACAACTTGAAAACTGGTGTTTAGCTGACTACATTTCACAGATAGATGTAGTTTTCCCCAAAGAAAATATAACTGAGTTTTCTGAAATGGAAACAAATGATGATGAAACACTCCAGTCAGAAAATGAAGACAGTGGATCTGATAATGAAAGTGAATTTAAAGATGACAGCACATTAGTTGTGTTGAAAAATGGAATCAAAATTAAGCGCAGAAAAACACCAAGAGTTATAAGATATGTTCGCTATAGTTTAAAGACAGACTCAGAAAATTACTATAGAGAAAAGCTAATGCTGTTCACTCCATGGCGAAATGAAAGTTCTGATCTTCTGTGTGGACAGCAAAGCTTTGAGCAGTCATTTAATCAGAAGAAATTTTTCTTAGCTCAGAAAATCAAACAGTATGAACACAATGCTGATGCACTTGAGCAGGCAGAACAGATTGCGCAAGATGATTTGACAGAAGCATATGATGAATTAGCTCCTGGTGCTCAACAAACTGAGGCAGAAGATGAATATGAAGGAAATGTTGACTCTGAAAAATTTGTTCACTTTAATCCTGAAAGGCCAATTGAACAGAGAGAGTATGATATAGGAATTGATGTTGGAATTCCATCAACAAGACAACTGAGTGAGCAGAGTTCTGTTAGATTACCTGATGATGAGTATTTAAAGCTTGTAGCCAGTCTAAATTTGAAGCAACTTGAATTCTTCAATCATGTTATGCAATGGATCAAATGTAAACAGGAACCTATTTATGCATATCTGTCAGGAGGTGCAGGTGTTGGGAAGTCAGTGTTAATCAGAGCACTTTATCAAGCTTTACATCGGTATTTATGTGCTAAGGAGGGAGAAAATCCAGATGATATACGAATTCTTCTTTGTGCATACACTGGTAAAGCTGCATTTAACATTAGTGGTCAAACAATTGCTTCTGCATTTCATCAGAAAATTAACCAAAGGCAGCAAAACATGCATTGTGATGAACTGAACACATTTAGAACTAAATACAATAATTTGTCAGTTGTTATCGTAGATGAAATTTCAATGGTTGGCAATGCAAAGTTGGAATTCATCAACGATAGACTTCAGCTTCTTACTGGTTTGAAGAGGCCCTTTGGAGACATTAGTATTATTGCTGTTGGAGATTTCTTTCAACTTAAACCAATCATGGATGGATGGATTTTTCAGGATTTAAAACAAAATGCCCAAGCACTTGCATGTAGTCTTTGGAAAGAAAACTTCACTTTATTTGAGTTAGATGAAGTAATGCGACAAAAAGATGATTTAGAATTTGCACAGCTTTTGAACCGTCTTCGTCACAATGAGATGACTTCTGAGGACTTGGATATAATTCATGAGTGCATAATTGCTGAAAATAGTCCAAATTATCCACACAATGCTCCCCATCTTTTCACAATGAATGCGAAAGTAGATGAATATAACAATAAACTTATAGAGCAACTTCCTGGTGAAAAAGTCATTGTAAAAGCTGTTGACAGTGTTCTCCAAGACCACAGTAAGTCTGTGAAAGACCGATTACTCAGATCATTGCAAAATCAAGATGATGTAAGCAAAACTGCAAACCTCATGACAAGACTAACTCTAGCCATTGGAATGATATATGACATTACAGTTAATATTGATGTTACTGATGGCTTGACAAATGGTTCATCATGTACTGTATTTCTTGTTGAAAATAGATTACCTGGTGTATCAAGGCCAAGTATAGTGTGGGTGAAGTTTTTAGATTCTGCAGTAGGGAGAATTGCTCGACAGAAATATAGACATCTTTTCCATGATGATGTTATGGATGATTGGACACCAATATTTGACTGTCAGCGATCTTTTGTTTTCAATTCAACTACGTATCAAAGAATACAGTTTCCTTTAAGACCAGCTGCTGGTAAGACAATACATAAGGCTCAGGGCTGCACTGTTGATGAAATTGTAGTAGATTTGTCTCAGACAAGGACGAGGAAAACACCACACATTCATTATGTAGCTCTTAGTAGAGTTAGATCTGTTGACAAATTGCATATTCTGAATTTCAATGAGCAAGCATTAACTATTGATGAAAAAGTTGTAGAAGAAATGGAAAGAATGAGGAAGGATGCACCTCTAAAACTGTGCTATCTTCCATTGTACAAAACAGAGCAGAACAAACTGAAAATTATGTTTAATAATGCAAGATCTCTTCACAAACATTTCGATGAAATTAGAAATGAACCCAATGTTGTAGCATCAGATATTATTGGTTTTTCAGAAACAAGATTAACCATCAATGACGAACAGAATTTTATGATGGAAGGCTACTTGACTTTGTTTAATCACGAAAAGAGAAGTGACAGCAATCGTCCTCATCACGGAACAGCATTATACGTTAAACAAAACCATTTGATGACATGTATCTCAAAATTCAGCAACACTTTGCTTGAATTCATCATAGCTTTAATAAATTTCAGAGACCTTGGAGAAGTGCAGATAGTTGTTTTATACAAGTTCCCAGCATGTTCTTTTAAAGAATTTGAATGTGAAGTTATGTTGCACTTAAAACCTTTTGTAGACACAGAGAAAAAATTGATAATTCTTGGAGATTTCAATTTTGATTTGTTTACAGGTCACAAAGAATTTCTGAATTTTATGAAGTTGAATTTGAAATGCACACAATTGGTAAAAAAGGCAACTCATGATTCAGGTTCACAACTTGATTTGATTTTCACAAACTTCCCCCATTGTGAAACTGACGTGATTGAGGCATATTGGTCAGACCATAAAATGGTTTACTGTACATATTCTTTATAGATATGATATAAGGGACGCATGAGTATTAATTATTTGGGGGAGATACGTCATCTTGTCCCCTCTCCCACCTACCAATGTGCCAGTGTCACTTAGTGACATTTGGTACATTGATTACTGTATACAGGGTTATATTCGCCCTGGCTGTGTTATTTTCACCCTTTTACACAATTTTGCAACGTTTTAAATTTTCCCCAGTCACAGTTTTATTGAAGAAATCATACAGTGTTCTTTTAATTTACCCCCTTTTAAATTTGTCTACCTCTAAGATGGATGACAGGGGAAAAAATAAAATGGGGCGAATATTTCCCTGTATACAGTATTTTATAGGCACCAATTACTTGATGTAAAATTTTGTTAGTTTTTAGGCATATGTATACTTTAAACTAGTACGATTTTTTATGTGGATTAATTTTCAACAGACAATTAATAAATGTATACAAAATAATTGAATGTTGCATGCTAAGGAAAATTCATGTACCATCAATGGCAATCATTCATGTAAAAAAAATGATGATCATTTCATTATGTGTTAATATTTATAATTTATGTATATACTGTATTGATGTTTGTGAGTTAGTTTTACCCTTACTGTTTAGATTCTTTTCTTTAATGATACATGAATATCATGAACTTGGTATTTTGAATATACATGAAATATTTTGAGATTACATGAATTGTTTACAAAGTTTAATTTAAAGAAATTATTGAGTTCTGCTAAATAATGATTAGAATAATGTACTAGAAATTTACACTTGCATCAAGTAATTGGTATCTTTGATATATGTTCAACACTGTATTCTATAGTTTTATGATGTAAATTCACTGAATATTATCTGTTCATGAAAAAAATTGCTGTATAGAAATATTGTAAGTTTATTAATGGTACTGTGTCTTGTGTCATTTAGTCACTGCAGAACAATACTGGAGTACATAAGTATAAACTTTAAACTTTTACAGTGTATATGAATTAATATTTTGTCCAGAGCAAATGTAATAACAATTTCAATGTCAATATTCTTATCATACATGTAATTCAAGTCTTTATAGCTATTTTACCTTCTGAACTTTATATAGGAAACATTTTAACAGAAGTATAATAATATAAGTTTACACATGACACAGCTAATAACCAGAGAATATGTTGAGACCTAAGTCTTTATCCTATATGAAGACTTATTGATGATTTAATGATCATATGTACATGTAATTACTTCAGATGCAATTACTTTATAATCAACTTCATGCAATATTGTAGATATCACAATTGCTGAATCTTTAAACAGGCTGGGTGGTCAACAAATTAATCAATAGATGCACCTGAAAATGAAATACTTGCAAATGTTCAAACGCTATATTTAAAACCATTATCTCTGATTTTATACAAAGATCTCAGAAATTAGTTTAATGATCATGACCATCCAGCATACTTATTGATTTTTGTGTAGAGTGACTTGTTTATTCTTGTAGCTGAATTAGAATTTTATACATTTTGAAATCACAGCTCAGTTATATATATATATATATATATATATATATATATATATATATATATATATATATATATATATATATATATATAGATATATATCATTTACATCATTTTGTTTTGAAAAAAATGTTCATTGTATACATGAAATTTTGTGTTGAAATACTGAATATTTTGACTTGATTATTTATCTTTTTTGATTTTTTTTCTTAAAATGTTTAAGCTAGTTTATTGTATTTTTGTATTTCAAAACATTCAGAAATTGCTTTAAACATTTACTTTAACTAGCTTTAGTTACCTGCATAGAATAGGAAAGCAACCTGCATAATCAGAATAAAACTGACAACTCATCATAACTTACTAGTATATTGCTGATATCACTTAACTCCATATTAATTGATGTTTAATTTTCTCCAGCATTGAGATATTTAATATGTGACCACCATTATATTATAATCTAATGAGAATTGACTATATATTATACACTTATACCCAGGTAAGTATGAAAAGAGGAGGTCAATGGACAGCCCGTAAAGGGAGGTAAACCTACCTCTTTATAACATTACAATTTTTCCTATAAAAGAGAGGAAAAAAAGGTGGATCACTATAATTTCTCATGACTGGTCTTAACAATCAAAAGTATTGATTGCAAAAAAATCCTTATCATTCCTTTTGGAATATTACCATCAAGTTTAGGTAATCTGATTCCTGCAGGTACTCCAATTAAATATTACTTATTAATTTTTTTTTTTTTAAATAATAGTTGATATTCAAAGTCAGATTCTGTTGACCATCATATAATTATTCACTTTCAGTTGCAATCTTTCCAATTTTCGCTTTCGTTATGTATAGGAAAGATTTACTATTAAGTGAACTTAAAAATAAATACAGTGCATTTCGTATCTTTCAAATGATTACTTTGATGTATTCAACTTTCCTCTAAACAAATGTTTTAATTGTTTACAAAGCATCTATGTTTACATATAATGTTATTGTCAGGAAGTTTTGCATTTCTGTCACAAAATTGTTGCAAAATTGCATATTTGATACTGTGTGCATATATATCTGTTAAAGTCTTATAAAATTTAGATAGTTGATTGTTATTAACGCTTCTTAGTTTTTATTATATTATCTACTAATTGTCTGATAAATTTTCACAAAATCTGTTGAATGTTGTAAAGAAATAAAAGTTAAATCTTATTCATATTTTCTGTTTTTATTATAACTGTCATAGCTAATGTTACATCCCCAAAAAAGGAGAGAAACGTTATTGTTCAATAATAGCATATTACACTTCAGAGTTGACAGTACAAGTGCTATATTCTGCAGAAATACTAAAATACTGAGATTGACCTCTTATATGACTTAATTGATAATGAGGTAGGCATTAAGTACTGGTTGAAAAGAAAGCCATTCTTAGCAATTTTATGCTTAGATCAAACCCAATTACAGTAAATGAATAAAAAGAGGAAGTTCATACTCTAACATCTACATGCATAATTCTTGCAAGTAAAGGTCTTTTACTCAGGTGAGCGATGTGGCCCCTGGGCCTCTTGTTCATTACAGATTAGAAATATCTGATAAAGTCCTTCTTTGCTTAACTTTAAAAATATTTTAAGTCTTCCGTCTGATCTTTCAACACTCTGTTGTTTTTCTGCCATATTTTGGCTTTCTTGCACTTCCTTTTGATAAACTGATATTTTCTGGTTTTCATTCCTTTTCAAAAAATGACATACTATTAATCTATTATTCCCAAGATTTCCGCAATTTTTACACCACTGTTACCTTTACTTTTGAGTTTTAGTAGCAATTTTTTTGTTCATCTATCAAATCCTCTCCGCTGGCAACCATTGCTTGTAATCTGCATACAACAACTTTATTTGTAAACAAAGACTTACCTCCCTTTGATCAGACAGTAGTTACGGGGTCAGAGTATCTTCACATTAGTAAAACATGAAAATGTTAATGAAAATGTATGTCTTTGAAACTCGAGTCAGCAATGTTGTGACTTATAATTAGGTACATGAGTGTGAGTGTCGAGTACAGTTCTGAATTTGCAGCCCTCCGCCGGCAAGGTGGTGGCGTCTCAATATGAGTGAAAAGTTTTCGGAGATGTAAAGCAAACATTTTTCTAAAGCTCTTTATAATTAGCTAACGTTATACTAGTATGTTTTTCCTTCATTTTCTTTGATGAATAAATTAATTGTCACATATTTTTTTTCTCTTACAGCTGCATGTGTTCTGGTAGAAAACGAAGTTTTCATACGGAAAATAGCATATGCGCAGGAGAACCTTCCTGATCGCATTCCGGCTGATGCAAACACAGCTTATGGGTTTTCCTTTGTTTTGTCATGGATTTCGTTTGCTGTATACGTTATAGCTGGTGCTATCTTCCTTTTCACCTCTCACAAAAGAAAAGCAGAAATGGCAGACGCTATCGACGAGTTTGTAGAGGAAGACGAGCCAGTTGTCATCAGGCGTTGACGTAATACTTCCGGTAGAGTCATATCCGCTATACCCTAAAATTCGAGTGGAATCGTATATCCTTCTCAAAAAGTGATACGAATTATCCATTGACCCTAGACCTGGAAAATGGCTGCTAGTGTTTTCCCTGCGAATCCAAGATCTCATACCAGATCATTTGGTGATTATTTGCATTCCACTGGATTTCCCGAAAAGTTCCAGCACATACTGAAGCGTTACATAATACGAAAAAAGGAGGGAAATGCTTATTTCCGGAATGTCATTGGGTTTTTTTTTATCTTTATCATTAGCATTTTTTAAAATTTTCTTTTTTCATTTTTTAACGTTTATAATTGCTCATCTTTAACTGCATTGCACTGTATTCAGAGTGCTTTTTTATAAGAATTAATCGAATGGCCTTTTAGCACTCTGTGCTAAAGCTTTTAAGAATATTATGTGTTGCAGATACAATTACCGTATATGTGTGCAAAAAAGAGAAGAAGAAAAAAAAACAACTCATGAATAGCTTTATCCTCCTAAAGTTTATTCCCGTGCTTTTAAGCAGCCAATAGAAAACAGGTCTTATTGAGGCAAATAGAAAAAAGATGCATTTTTACTTTTCAAGTTCCAATAATTTTATAAAATATCAAAATATTGGTGAGAGAATGCATAATAGATATTTTTCTAATACTTATAACAATATTTAAGACGTACAAACGTACGAGGTACCTAAGTTAAAAAAAAACATACGATTGCACTGTGTTCGAAGAATTCCGCTTTTCCAGTTGTCCCAAGAAAATTTTTATTGTCCCCTCTATAAAACTTCAGAAATTTTAAATATGGTGCGTGATTTTATTTATACTTTACACATGTATGAATCATTTTTTTTCACTTATACATTAATATTATCTTATCATGCTCTATAAGGTTTCTAAGCAGTCAGTTCGTTGTTCAATGCGCACAGAACTGCAAAACCGATTTCTCATTATCAAATGTCCTTGTAGATTTGCACCATGAACCCATTATCAATAAATTGTTAAACAATTTTTTTTTACAAAAGACAGTTAAAACATTATTTTATTTCCTTGTTGAAAGTTAAATTAAATCCCTAAATTCTTTAAAAATTGAATAGATTTATAACAAGAAGGAAGTTTGAAGGGGATAATTTCTTTAATTTCAATATATGCTTCTATCATTGAACATGTAAATAGTTGTCACTATTCCAAAAATGTACATAAATGTATTTTATATTTTTTCACTTTTCTAAACCTTAAATTATTGAGTCAATAAGTTGTCTATGTTAACAAATGAAGTAAACTAAAGTTTACTTTAGAATTTTTGTAAGGGTTCTAATAGTCTTTCCTCTAGCATTAAAAAACAACTAGTAGATATTAAAACCAAAGCAATATTCACCTACTAAATAAACTAGGAAAGTATAATATGTCTTTTTACAATTTAACATTCATTCTTGAAAAAATACTATATAACAATTTGGACTGAATTTATAAATCTACTTGAATCAAATAAAGTCAATGATGAAACACGAAATCTTGTTTATACTTCTTTTTCGAGAGACATTTTATTACTGTCAAGAACTTTTGACAGAGAAGTTATAATGCCAGGGGAAGGACATTCCCCAGACATACAAGTATAAACTATATTAAGGGGGAGGACATTCACTATACATGTAAATAAACTACTGTGTATAACAGCCAGGGAGGAGGACATTCATAGACATGTATGTATACTTCTATACAGCCGATGTGTTGGACCGGAGTGCAAGCTGTTGCGCAAGGCCGCGGGCAACCGTTTACACTCCGGTCCAACAGGTCGACTGTATCCCGAGACTCCTGTCAACAAATGTTTTGTTATACTCCTTTACCGAATGTAAAGATAACTCAGTTTAGCCTTGATTGACGTCAGCGGGCAATAGTCTTTTTTTAACAGTAAATTTTAACAGTTCTTGAACCGATAGTCGGGGAAAACAGTCGAACTGTTGAGAGAGGGACGTTAAACAATATACAATCAATCAATCAATCAATCGAACTGTTGGACATTTTAAAGAAATTATATAGGGACTGTTTAGTAGGGGTATAATAATCTATATAATTGACAGGGGGGGGGTTAACATTCCCTAGACATATCAGTATACTACTGTATATTACTGACAGGGAGGAAGACAGTCCTAGACATTTCAGTATATTACTGACAGGGAGAATGATATTCCTTAGATATGTCAGTATACTACTGTATATTACTTACAGAGAGGTGGGCATTCCTAGACATGTCGCTATACTACTGTATATTACTGACAGGGAGGACATTCCTAGACATGTCGCTATACTACTGTATATTACTGACAGGGAGGAAGACAGTCCTAGACATTTCAGTATATTACTGACAGGGAGGAGGATATTCCTAGACATTTCAGTATACTACTGTATATTACTGACAGAGAGGGGGGCATTCCTAGACATGTCGCTATACTACAGTATATTACTGACAGAGAGGAGGACATTCCTAGACATGTCAGTATACTATTGTATATTACTGACAGAGAGGAGAACATTCCTAGACATTTCAGTATATTACTGACAGGGAGGAGGATATTCCTTAGATATGTCAGTATACTACTATATATTACTGACAGGGAGGACATTCCTAGACATGTCAGTATACTACTATATATTACTGACAGGGAGGACATTCCTAGACATGTCAATATACTACTGTATATTACTGAAAGGGAGGAGGACATTCCTAGACATGTCAGTATACTAATGTATATTACTGAGAGGGAGGAGGACATTCCTAGACATGTCAGTATACTACTGAATATCACTGACAGGTAGAAGGAACATTCCTAGACATCTCAGTATACTACTGTATATTACAGCCAGGGAGAATGACATTTGTAGACATGTCGCTATACTACTGTATATTACAGCCAGGGAAGGGGGTGCATTCCTAGACATGTCGCTATACTACTGTATATTACTGACAGGGAGGAAGACATTCCCTAGACATGTCACTATACTACTGTATATTACTGACAGGGAGGAGGATATTCCTTATATATGTCAGTATACTACTGAATATTACTGACAGAGAGGAGGGCATTCCTAGACATGTCGCTATACTACTGTATATTACTGACAGGGAGGACATTCCTAGACATGTCACTATACTACTGTATATTACTGACAGGGAGGACATTCCTAGACATGTCGCTATACTACTGTATATTACTGAAAGGGAGGAGGACATTCCTAGACATGTCAGTATACTACTGTATATTACTGAGAGGGAGGAGGACATTCCTAGACATGTCAGTATACTACTGAATATCACTGTCAGGTAGAAGGAACATTCCTAGACATCTTAGTATACTACTGTATATTACAGCCAGGGAGAATGACATTTGTAGACATGTCGCTATTCTACTGTATATTACAGCCAGGGAAGGGGGCGCATTCCTAGACATGTCGCTATACTACTGTATATTACTGACAGGGAGGAAGACATTCCCTACACATGTCAGTATACTACTGTATATTACTGACAGGGAGGAGGATATTCCTTATATATGTCAGTATACTACTGTATATTACTGACAGAGAGGAGGGCATTCCTAGACATGTCGCTATACTACTGTATATTACTGACAGGGAGGACATTCCTAGACATGTCGCTATACTACTGTATATTACTGCCAGGGAGGACATTCCTAGACATGTCGCTATACTACTGTATATTACTGACAGGGAGGGCATTCCTAGACATGTCAGTATACTATTGTATATTACTGACAGAGAGGAGGACATTCCTAGACATTTCAGTATATTACTGACAGGGAGGAGGATATTCCTTAGATATGTCAGTATACTACTGTATATTACTGACAGGGAGGACATTCCTAGACATATCGCTATACTACTGTATATTACTGCAAGGGAGGAGGATATTCCTAAGATATGTCAGTATACTACTGTATATTACTGACAGGGAGGACATTCCTAGACATGTCGCTATACTACTGTATATTACTGCCAGGGAGGACATTCCTAGACATGTCGCTATACTACTGTATATTACTGACAGGGAGGACATTCCTAGATATGTCAGTATACTAATGTATATTACTGAGAGGGAGGACATTCCTAGACATGTCGCTATACTACTGTATGTTACTGACAGGGAGGACATTCCTAGATATGTCGCTATACTACTGTATATTACTGACAGGGAGGAAGACAGTCCTAGACATTTCAGTATACTATTGTATATTACTGACAGGGAGGACATTCCTAGACATGTCAGTATACTAATGTATATTACTGACAGGGAGGACATTCCTAGACATGTCAATATACTACTGTATGTTACTGAAAGGGAGGAGGACATTCCTAGACATGTCAGTATACTACTGTATATTACTGAGAGGGAGGAGGGCATTTCTAGACATGTCAATATACTACTGTATATTACTGAAAGGGAGGAGGACATTCCTAGACATGTCAGTATACTATTGTATATTACTGACAGGGAGGAGGACATTCCTAGACATTTCAGTATATTACTGACAGGGAGGAGGATATTCCTTAGATATGTAGTATACTACTGTATATTACTGACAGAGAGGAGGACATTCCTAGACATGTCAGTATACTACTGTATATTACTTACAGGTAGGAGGACATTCGTAGACATCTCAGTATATTACTGACAGGGAGGAGGACATTCCTAGACACCTTATTATACTACTGTATATTACCGACAGGGAGGAGAACATTCCTGGACATGTCAGTATACTTCTGTTTATTACAGCCAGGGAGGAGGACATTCCTAGACATTTGTGTATACTACTGTATGTTACTGACAGGGAGGGAGACATTCCCTAGACATGTCAGTATACTACTGTATATTACTGCCAGGGAGGACATTCCTAGACATGTCGCTATACTACTGTATATTACTGACAGGGAGGACATTCCTAGACATGTCGCTATACTACTGTATATTACTGACAGGGAGGACATTCCTAGACATGTCAATATACACCCTAGACATGTCAGTATACTACTGTATATTACTGACAGGGAGGAGGACATTCCTAGACATGTCAGTATACTACTGTATATTACAGCCAGGTAGGAGGACATTCCTAGACATCTCAGTATACTACTGTATCTTACAGCCAGGTAGGAGGACATTCCTAGACATGCCAGTATACTACTGTATATTACAGCCAGGGAATGGGGCGCATTCCTAGACATGTCGCTATACTACGGTATATTACTGACAGGGAGGAAGACATTCCCTAGACATGTCAGTATACTACTGTATATTACTGACAGGGAGGAGGATATTCCTTAGATATGTCAGTATACTACTGTATATTACTGACAGAGAGGAGGGCATTCCTAGACGTGTCGCTATACTACTGTATATTACTGACAGGGAGGAAGACATTCCCTAGACATGTCAGTATACTACTGTATATTACTGACAGGGAGGAGGATATTCCTTAGATATGTCAGTATACTACTGTATATTACTGACAGAGAGGAGGGCATTCCTAGACATGTCAATATACTACTGTATATTACTGAAAGGGAGGAGGACATTCCTAGACATGTCAGTATACTATTGTATATTACTGACAGGGAGGAGGACATTCCTAGACATTTCAGTATATTACTGACAGGGAGGAGGATATTCCTTAGATATGTCAGTATACTACTGTATATTACTGACAGAGAGGAGGACATTCCTAGACATGTCAGTATACTATTGTATATTACTGACAGGGAGGAGGACATTTCTAGACATTTCAGTATATTACTGACAGGGAGGAGGATATTCCTTAGATATGTCAGTATACTACTGTATATTACAGCCAGGGAGAATGACATTTGTAGACATGTCGCTATACTACTGTATATTACAGCCAGGGAATGGGGCGCATTCCTAGACATATCGCTATACTACGGTATATTACTGACAGGGAGGAAGACATTCCCTAGACATGTCAGTATACTACTGTATATTA